TTTTTTTTTTTTTTTTTTTTTTTTTTTTTTTTTTTTTTTTTTTTCCGAGTGGCCACGGCCACGATGTCTAGGCCACCTAGGCCACGCCCGCGGCTGGCTATGACCGTGATGGGCCACAATCGCAAGAAAACAAAATAACGCGAACAAAAAAAAGAAAAAAAAAAAAAAAAACGCAACCACCTTAACGAAACCGCCACCCCGACACCACTGCTGGCTTGAGCTACAACCGTCTTTTCGAACTCAGGCCGTGACAAAGTTGTCGATGCCGGTTTTTTCTGCCCATTACGAACTGCCATGTGACATAAACATACTTCCCTCAAAAAAATACTGATGATAATCTGGGGTTGGTTAAGATCTTGATCAGCCACCCAGGTGCCATTGTAGTGCAGCCCCCTAGCCAAGGAGGTCTTCAAGTTCCTCAGCAAGCCGCCACGCCGCACTGTGGGCAGCCACCGGTCACGTGCACAGGCGGCAGCAGACAGGGGGAAATAGCTGTCATGGCACTCTTCAATACCAATGTGCCGCAATATCAACTTATTTTATTATAATTATAATTATTATTATTATTATTATTAAGCCCAGGTTGTTGTAGAGGTGGGATACTAGACCAATGACAGTTACCCACAGTATTCGGTCACTCGGTTGTCCAGCTGAATCCCTGTAAAGACCCCACCCACCCTTCCTCTTATCATTTTTGCCCTAGCGCACCCCCACCCCCCCTGTCCTACCCTAGTGTTAACCACCCGGGACCATCACCCATTGCCATATTGGCAGGGTGATCTGACCCGAAAGCAGCTGCAGGCACCCGGCCTAGGCAGAGAGACCTACCCCCCTGCTCAACCCTGGTTGAAGCAGACGCCGTGCAAGCCCGATTGCACGGGGACTTCGGGAGCTAGGTATGAACATGCTACTACAGGTCTTTATGAGGGTGCACAATGTTACGTTGTATTACTACTATTGTATTTGATGGCAGAGAGTTGGGGATCCTCCGTTCCCTCGTATATCCCTGGAGCCCGTTTCGGCCCCGCGGTAAGGTGCAGTATCTCCTAACACCCCCGACATCCCGTACTAAGGAACTGCTATGCCAACCTCAAACCTGTGCTACGTACTAGGAGGATAGCCAACCCTGAGTCATGTGTGTATTGAAGTGTTCTATTGTGTTGATGGTAGAGAGTTGGGCATCCTCTGTTCCATCGTATATCCCTGGAGCCCGTTCCGGCCCCGCGGTAAGGTGCAGTATCTCCTGACACCCCCGACATCCCGTACTAAGGAACTGCTATGCCAGCCTCAAGCCTAAGCTACGTACTGGGAGGATAGCCAACCCTAAGTCGTGAATCATGGACTGCATCATTGACTGTGTGTATTGACCCCTGGAGAATCGTTGAGAGTTGGGGATCCTTCGTTCCATCGTATATCCCTGGACGGTAGAGAGTTGGGGATCCTCCGTTCCATCGTATATCCCTGTAGCCCGTTCCGGCCTCGCGGTAAGGTGCAGTATCTCCTACATCCCCGACATTCCGTACTAAGGAACTGTTATGCCAGCCTCAAGCCCTAAGCTACGTACAAGGAGGATAGCCAATCCTAAGTCGTGAATCATGGACTATGTGTATGGACCCTGGAGAATCGTTGATAGAGAGAGCGGGGGATCCTTTGTTCCCTCGTATATCCGTGGAGCCCGTTCCGGCCCCGCGGTAAGGTGCAGTATCTCCTGACACCCCCGACACCCCGTACTAAGGAACTGCTATGCCAGCCTCAACCCTTAAACTACGTACTAGGAGGATAACCAACCCTAAGTCGTGGATCATGAACCATATGTATTGACCCTGAAGAACCTTGTGTTGTATGATAAACAGTGAGAGCTAGACAATCCTTCGTTCCCTCGTCTGTCCCTGGAGCCCGTGCCAACCCCGCGGTAAAGTGCAGTATACACCCCCGACATCCTGTACTAAGGAACTGCTATGCCAGCCTCAATCCTTGACTACGTACTAGGAGGATGACCAGCCCTAAGTCATAATATGGTATCAACCACATGACCTCATATGAATCGTGCAAATGACCTAACCTGTTGACATATACTGTAAAGTAGTCTGAAGTAACTGTTGTGCTCTGATGGGCTCGAGTAAACCAGAGTCACCAGACTGTACAAGCCACCCAACAGTTGTGTGACCACCCATACACCAAGAACATCAGGATACCCTACCATCGCCCCAATCCCAACGTACAACAACCGTGAGCTACCCCTTGGGTGGTGCACAAGCAGTGTCTTTAATAGCTAACATGCGTCATCCCAAGGGGGGGGGGTGTCCGGTCGTGCTTCAATCTAACGCCTTGTCGGTGTCCATGCGCAAGGTTGCGGATTTGAACCCGCAACCTCATACCACAACGTGCATTTCAAACCAGTGCTCTAACCACCGAGCTACATCAACTGGACCACAATATCAACATCAACTCATCCTACGGCTTTTGCCAGTGTCTTACAACACTGGCCACACACACGCATGGGCAGCGGCTGCCCAGGTTCGAACCCTGGTAAAAACA